CTCATGCAAATATTTCTATCCTAGGTCTGCTGCTGGACCCTTTCTCAGTCCAGGTATAAACACCTTACTGGGGAAGAACTCAGCTCTTTCTTTTATGTAAAGAAACAAGCATCAAATTAACTAATCACTCAATTAACCAGTTAAGCTTTCCATTCTAGATAGGAGTAAAGATACAACTGGGTTTCAAATGCAAGCCTTCCTGTTTAGAAATAGCATTAATATCAACATGAACCAAACTGACCAAACCAAGAACTCAGGTATTTTTTTTAAATTGAGTTTTACAAAGGCTTGAATGCAAATCTTTAATTTATTATGAACACCAGCTTCCACTGTTACCTGTCCAGAAATAGATCTCAGCTCTTTTTTGCTGTTAGTTACAGTTAAATTCCACTGGCTGCTATCGTTACATTTGAACCTCTACCTCAGAGAAGTAACCAAGGCATCTGGATTGCATGTCCAATGACATTACCACTAAACCAGCATCTACCTAGAACACCTTTTCTTTAACTAAAATAAACCCACCACCAATTTAACAATTTTTCATATTAATCAAATTGCAAATACTACTCTGCAGGGGCAGTATAATAAAAAAACAAACAAAACTAGGGAAAGTAAAGAGGTGACTCAATCAAAACAATGAACCTAAAGGCTTTGAGCATGCTGCTGGTCACTACAAGCTCCCTTACCAATGACACCTGGACATGAACGTAGCTGCAGAAGACAGACAGACAGATTGGAACTACAATCCCCTCCAACAGCCCGCTGCCTGGACCTATTGGCAGTTAGCCAGGTCCAGCAGCAGATCCATAAGGAGGTCCTCTGAATTGCTCACCCCTCGCTGCACTGGGTGAACAACATTCAGGAGTGTGGAATTCTGTCTGAGCAGGGAGTAGGTACAGATGGGAGAACACCGCACACCAGAACGTCCTCCAACATAACACAACAGCTAATTTCTACACAGCAAGTTCCCAAAAACAGCATCATGCTAATGACCAAACTATATTTTATGACATCAATTGAGGGGCTGCAACATGGCTCAGTGGTTAGCGCTGCTGCCTCAAAGTGCCAGGGATCTGGGTTTGATTCTACCCTTGGATGACTGTCCTTGTGGAGTCTGTACATTCTCCCCGTGTCTGCATGGGTTTCCTCCGGGTGCTCCGGTTTCCTCCCACAGTCCAAAGATGTGCAGGTTAGGTGGATTGGCCATGCTAAATTGCCCATAGTGTCCAGGGATGTGAAGGCTAGGTGGATTATTCATGGGAAATGCAGGGTTACAGGGATGGAGTGGCTCTGGGTGAAATGTTTTCAGAGGGTTGGTGTGGACTCAATGGGCTGAATGGCCTGCTTCCACATTGTAGGGATTCTATGTATTCTATTCCAGGGATACAGGGATATCTTCTCCTTTAGGAAATGGTAGGATCTTTTATGTCAAGCTGAAAGGACAGTCAGACCATGGTTTAATGTGCTATTTGAAGCATCTCCCACAATGCAGCAGTCTCCCAGTACTGCATTTAAAGTCATCCTTGATTTAGTGCATTCAGGTTCTATTTTGAACCCATATCCTTCTGAATCAGAGGTGAAAGAGCTACCAAGTCTGGGTAGCAGCTGGCACTGTCAATTAAATAAGTATCATTAGTACTAATAGCATCTGTTTGTGCAGTTTTTATTTATTATAAGTCTTATTCTCTCACCTTATGTGTAGTTCTTAAATGTTTTCAAGAGCTAAATTTTCATGCCCCAACACTGATTGGGCTCATTGAATAGCCTTCATCTGGAGCAAAGCCATATTCAATATTGAAACAGTCAGGTGCTTCCTTTAGCACAACAACAACTTTTTAAAAATAGCTACATTCCATGGTGCCAAGTTACCTTTGGGAATGTTCAAATCTGAGCAGATCTAATCCTAAACTTGACTGGGCTTGGTTGTGAATTAATTCTGTAGAACCACCCAGGTTTGAAGAAACTCACATTTCAACTTCCTTTGCTTGATCAGCCCTGCCCTTGGGTAAAAAATCTTTTTAAAAAAAAGAACAGTTGCTTTGCTTTTGCAATGCCATTCAAACTCCGAATTCAATGAGGAATGACCACTTTAAACAAGCAGTAAACTCAATGGCACATTGCAACTTCTTATCTCTCTAGTACAGTGTGAGTTTTAGCTGAAAATCTTATGCAATTCAAATTAAACACAAGCATACAAAATTAAATTTTGCTTTGATTAAAAGTAAATAGAGATCTTGTTTAATAAGTGTTTTGTAAAAAGTTCTGAACTGATATGACTGTCTCCAATGGCACAATCATATTGTTAATAACTGTCTGTAAATAAAAGGTTGACGTAAAAATCATAGTCCAATTATTACCTCACCCTTTCTGCACACATTCACCATTAGTGAATGTCAGATTGAAGGGGTTTATTCAGAGCAGTGCAATCCCACGCCCCAGATTGCTCTGAATTGACAAAAACTCACTATAAATTCAGCTCCCTCTTTTGTAACTAGTCCACTCTTGCCACAATGAAAATGCAGCATTACCAGTTTTGGGATTTCATGTCCTACTTCAGCAAAGCAAATAGTCAAAAAAACTGAAAGAACTGCGGATGCTGGAGATCAGAAACAAAAACAGAAATTGCTGGAAATTCTTAACAGATCTGGCAGCATCTGTGGAGAGAAATCAGAGTCAATATATTGGGTCCAGTGACCTTTCTTCAGAAGAAGGGTTCTGAAGAGGAGTCACTGGACCCAAAACGTTAACATTGATTTCTCTCCAAAGGTGCTGCCAGACTTGCTGATAATTTCTAGCAGTTCCTGTTTTTGTAGTAAATAGTTGGATGAAGACCGAATTTCACAAAGATATCATGCATCTCCTGAACTGACTGAATGGTGGCAGTACCTGAAAGTGGACATGGGAATGTGATATATGATTAATCCTTGCCAGTTGAGTGTGATGCAGGCAGTGTAACAACTTGGAGTTGCATGTTTATTTCAATATCATCATTGCCAACTGTGCTACAGATTGGCTGGATGTCAATCTTGTGAATGGCATGTCAAAAGCTAGCCTGCATCATTTAAAGGGGCGGTACATTGTGGCTGGAATAGGTCCCTTCACTAATGTAGGAAATGAATCTGTTCTGTGAAACATTGAAGAGTAGTGCAAGGTGGCGCAAGAGATCTGCACAGGAGAGATGTCGCATGGCAGTCAGGCACTAGGATTACCTCCACACACAGCCTCAGATAGGAGACAAGCTCCAGTGCAGTGCCTCAAGACATTCAATGATCTCACATGAGTGGTCAAGGCAAGTGAATGCATCTTCAGATATCGTATCTTATCAATTGCATCTATAGCCTCAGAACCTACTCAAATCACTGTATATCCAACTATCACCATGCTTTATCATTGAGGGCTCATAACTGGTATTCTTGTGCTCCACCCCAGGCTCACACACTGTGGTAAGCTTCACACTTACATCTCACAGGTTGTGCACTCTGCCAGCTATATAACTCATGCCAGCCACATCATCTGAACTGATTTCATCCCATTCACTGATACACTTCTTGATTTTCATGGATGGAAAGGTTATTAAATAGGATAAGGGATCGTTGAGTTGCCGGTAATATACTTGCAAAGACAGTGGATTACTTACTGGACAGAAGGCAGAGATTAGAAATAAATGGGATATTTTCAAATTTGCAGGATATAATGAATGTTGTGCCACAAGTACCAGTGCTGGGATCTCAGCTTTTTACTATCTATATTGATGACTTAAATGCCAGTTTATCCAGATGTATGCAAGTTTGTTCCCAGTGCAAGGTTAGCTGGGTCAACAAGCCTTGTGGAAGGCACAGAAAGACTGCAAAGTGATAAAGACAGGCCAAGTGAATGAGCAAATATGGGGAAAATCAAATATAATGTGGGGAAACATGAAGTTATTCACTAAAGTAGAACAAACAGAAAATCAGAATTTTTTTTAAAGTGAAGCTTTTGAATGTTGATGATCAAAGAGATTAGGTGTCTTCATACTAGCATCACAGAAAGTCACTATGTGGTACAGTAAACAATTAAGCAGGCAAATAGAAGGTTCACCTTTATTGCAAGAAGGCAAGAGTACATTTGTACAGGGTTTTGTTGAGATGATACCTGGAGGGCTGTGTGCAGTTTTGGTTTCCTTATCTAAGGCAGGAAATACTTGTCTTAGAGAGATGAAACAAAGGCTAACATGATTCCTGTCATGAAAAGTTTGTTTGATGAGGAGAGATTGAGGAGAATGTCTTTACACTCGCTGGAGTGATCTCATTGAAACACATGAGGTGCCGAGCGGGTTTGACAAGATAGATACTGAGAAGGTGTTTCTTCTGGCTGACGTTTCTAGAATAAGGGGGCATTGTCTCAGGTTAAGGAATCAGTCATTAACACCGAAAAGAAGAGGAATTTCCTCACTTAGAGGGTCAGGAGCCTTTGGAATTCTCTATCCAGAGAACTGTGGCTGCTCAGTCGTATATTCAAGGCTGAGATCAGGAGATGTTTAGCTTCCCATGGGATCAAGGGATGTGGAGATCAGATCGATAAGCAAAATGAAGGTCTAAAATGACTGGAGAATTGAGCTTGATGGGTCATGTGGCCTACTCGTGTTCCTGTTTCTTATGTTTTTTTTAAATGTTCTTATGAGACACCAAATATGATTGGGTTGCAGCCAGGGCCTCTCAAGCATCTTGGAGGAGAGTGGGGCTGGGTTATATAGCAGACATAATGAGGTAGTGAGATTATGGAACAAATTAAAGTTAAATATTGTGAAAAGAAGGATATGGGCAACAGAGGTTTGGATGATCTCAAAATTAAAGCAGAAAATGCTGGCAACTCACTCATAGTCCTGAAGAGTTAACCTTTTCAAAACAAAGTTTTATCATTCCAACACCTCTACCCAAAATGTGGGTTTGAATCATTGGAGACACAGGAATGTTATTCTTTTTATAAACATACGAAGCTATCAGAAAAGGTTGTATTATTACCAGAGGTCCAATAGTCCTGGAGCCTTTTCTTTTTCTTCTTCTTTGGCTGTAACTCATTGCTTCCAGACTGATGCTTCACATTTTCTGATGTTATCTCTTGGTTTCCATGCACTTCTTGAAAGTTTTCAGTCTGATAAGGCAAATACATTTTTTAAAAAGCTCCCAATGGAAGACTGCAAACTACACATTAATAGGGCCATAGATAGCCTGAGGCTATTTAATTGCAGCATTTCACTTAATACCTAAAATGACTTTCTCCCTTAATCTGAAGCTAGTGATCTGGGTATGCTGCTAAGGGAAGGATTAAGATTAAAATAAAGTGACTATTGACCACCTGGTAATTTTTTCCCCCTCTTTTCGTAGAGGTAGAAATCAGGGTTCCTTTAAACAACAAAGACCATTTCATGTTGAATACGATTAAAATCCTCTCCGAGGTAACCTGGAATTCATTTGTTTGATAGAGTAGCATTTTGGGACAAAGTGCTCCTTAATAAGGGGCAGTTACATTTTCTTATCTCAGTGCCATAGAATTCCTGTGCCATCAGAAAACAAAATAAGGACCAGGGCAGACTAGGCAAAAAATGAGGTAATGGTCTAGTGGCATTATTGCTAGACTATTGGTCCAGAGATAGTAGGAACTGCAGATGCTGGAGACTCTGAGACAACAAGGTGCAGGGCTGGATGAACACAGCAGGCCACGCAGCATCATAGGAGCAGAGAGGCTGACGTTTCGGGCCTAGACCCTTCATCAGAAAAGGGGGAGGGGAAGGGGGTTCTGAAATAAATAGGGAGAGAGTGGGAGGCGGATAGAAGATGGATAGAGGAGAGGATAGGTGGAGAGGAAACAAACAGGTCGAAGAGGCGGGGATGGAGCCAGTAAAGGTGAGTGTAGGTGGGGAGTTAGGGAGGGGATAGGTCAGTCCAGGGAGGACGGACAGGTCAAGGGGGCAGGATGAGGTTAGTCGGTAGGAGATGGGGGTGCGACTTGAGGTGGGAGGAGGGGATAGGTGGGAGGAAGAACAGGTTAGGGCGGCGGGGACGAGCTGGACTGGTTTTGGGATGCGGTGGGGGGAGGGGAGATTTTGAAGCTTGTGAAATCCACATTGATACCATTGGGCTGCAGGGTTCCCAAGCGGAATATGAGTTGCTGTTCCTGCAACCTTTGGGTGGCATCGTTGTGGCACTGCAGGAGGCCCAGGATGGACATGTCGTCTGAGGAGTGGGAGGGGGAGTTGAAATGGTTCGCAACTGGGAGGTGCAGTTGTTTATTGCGAACCGAGTGTAGGTGTTCTGTAAAGCGGTCCCCGAGCCTCCGCTTGGTTTCCTCGATGTAGAGGAGGCCACAACGGGTACAGCGGATGCAGTACACTACATTGGCAGATGTGCAGGTGAACATCTGCTTGATGTGGAAAGTCTTCTTGGGGCCTGGTATGGGGGTGTGGGAGGAGATATGGGGGCGGATGTAGCACTTCCTGCGGTTGCAGGGAAAAGTGCCGGGTGTGGTGGGGCTGGAGGGGAGTGTGGAGCGGACAAGGGAGTCACGGAGAGAGTGGTCCCTCCGGAAAGCAGATCAGGGTGGGGAGGGAAAGATGCCTTTGGTGGTGGGGTCGGATTGCAGATGGCGGAAGTGTCGGAGGATGATGCGTTGGATCCGGAGGTTGGTGGAGTGGTACGTGAGGACGAGGGGGATTCTTTTTTGGTTCTTATTGCGTGGACGGGGTGTGAGGGATGAGTTGCGGGAGATGTGGGAGACACGGTTGAGGGCATTCTCGACCACTGAGGGGGGGAAGTTACGGTCCTTGAAAAACGAGGACAACTGAGATGTACGGGAGTGGAATGCCTCATCCTGGGAGCAGATGCGGCGGAGCTGAAGGAATTGGGAATAGGGGATAGCATTTTTGCAGGAAGGTGGGTGGGAGGAGGAGTATTCTAGGTAGCTGTGGGAGTCGGTGGGCTTGAAATGAACATCGGTTTCTAGGTGGTTGCCCGATATGGAGACAGAGAGGTCCAGGAAGGGGAGAGAGGTATTCAAGATGGTCCAGGTAAACTTAAGGTTGGGGTGGAAGGTGTTGGTGAAGCGGATGAACTGTTCGAGCTCCTCGTGGGAGCACGAGGCGGCGCCGATACAGTCATCAATGTAACTGAGGAAGAGGTGGGGTTTAGGGCCGGTGTAGGTACGGAAGAGGGATTGTTCCACGTAACCTACAAAGAGGCAGGCATAGCTTGGGCCCATGCGGGTACCCATGGCCACCCCCTTTGTCTGTAGGAAGTGGGAGGAATTGAAAGAGAAGTTGTTGAGGGTGAGGACGAGTTCGGCTAAGCGGATGAGGGTGTCAGTGGAGGGGGACTGGTCAGGCCTGCGGGACAGGAAAAAGCGGAGGGCCTTTAGGCCATCTGCATGGGGAATGCAGGTGTAGAGGGACTGGACGTCCATGGTAAAGATGAGGTGTTGGGTACCGGGGAATTGGAAGTTCTGGAGGAGGTGGAGGGCGTGGGTGGTGTCACGGACATAGGTAGGGAGTTCCTGGACCAAGGGGGAGAAAATGGAGTCCAGATAGTTGGAGATCAGTTCGGTGGGGCAGGAGCAGGCGGACACAAGGGTCGACCAGGGCATTCAGGTTTGTGGATTTTGGGAAGGAGATAGAAGCGGGCAGTGCAGGGTTGGGGAACGATGAGGTTGGAAACTCAGGTAATGTTCTGGGGTTTGAATCCTGCCATGGCAGGTCATGGAATTTGAATTCAATAAACATCAGGAATTAAGAGTCTAGGGATGACCATCAAACCATTGTCAATTGTCAGAAAAAAACCCATCTAGTTCACAAAATATCCTTTAGGAAGGAAACTGCTCTCCTTACCTGATCTGACCTACATGTGACTCTGGACCCACAGCAATGCGGCTCTCTTAAATACCCTCTGGGCAATTAGGGATGGGTAACAAATGCTGGCCTAGCCAGTAACACCCACACTCCACAAATGAACAAACAAAAAAAAAGCTTCTAAAGAAGGATTGATGGCAATTAAAAGAAAGTTCAAGGATAAATGACATTTAAGTAGGAAGCCAGTAGGGATATTTCTGCTGAAAGTGCAGAGTGGAAGAATAGAATACTATTCAGTAACAAAAGGTGGAAATCAAACACATTAACTTTGAACGATTTGTTTCCTGAATGCAGAGTTATTAGTATTTACTTTTAACTTCAAATCTATGTTATGTTGTTGATTCTGCTCATTTCTTTAATTTTGAGATTCCTTCTTCTTGCATTTTGGTTTATTGTCTGCATTTGTTCTCAATTCTTACTGCACCTGTCAATCCCCAAACCATCACTGAGGGCAGAGATTCCAGTGTCACACCCTGAAATTCTGGAATTCTGCTGTCTAAGCTGTTCCAGTTGTTTCCATCTCTCCCATCCTTAAAAAAAAACATCAAAAAACTATTTTCAACCACTTTTTCAGTCACCCCCTTTAACATCAAGCTAACTGTTGCTTGTTGTCATGGAATTATACAATCACTGCAGTGCGGAAAGAAGCCATTTGGCCTATCCAGTCCACACTGACCCTCCAAACAGCATCCCAGCCAGATCCAGAACACCCATTAATGCCCATTTACCATGGCTAATCTCCCTAACCTGCATATTCCTGGACACTATGGGCAATTTAACGAGGCCAATCCACCTAACCTGCACATTTTTGGACTGCGGGAGGAAACTGGAGCATCCGGAGGAAACCCATGCAGATACGGGAAGAATGTTTCTAATAACTCCTAGCTTTGATATGTTCAAGGTGAAATATACGGTCAGGGAAAAGTCGTGTTTCCAGATAAGGCTTCTTCAGTAAACCTTACTTAGAATTGTTTTTAAATCTCAAACTGAAACAAAATGAATGTCTCAGCTTGTTAACATTATTTAGATTGTGGAACAAAATAAGATCCTACAGTGTCACTTTCTCCAAAGAAAACATTGAGCATGAAATAAATAGAACCTGTGAGGAGACTGGAGAAAGCCAAAATGAAATTTGATATTTGAAAACAACACTGTACCTTAATATAAAATGAGTGCTGTTACCTTCAAAACTAAGAAAAAATTGAACACGATTGAGTGGCAATGGTTTCCACAGTTACAATTCCAAACACTTTAAGTCAAAGGTGAAGGGGGTGATGGTGTGAATGGGAGTAAGAGAAATGTAACATGCTCTGTATTCTTTCGATTATCACTTTGCAGCACAAGAGGTAAGTACTCGATCAAGTACAGTCAAGTAAACTACAAAGGAAAGAGAAAGGCATTCAGCGGAAAAACTGGTTTGATTACTTACCTTATATTATGGTTACACGTTGTCCTGAAACTTGATTTGTTTGTACATGACGTAACTGTGGCTGTGCTGGTTTAAAATGCATGGTAAGGCAAATACAGCGACATGTTGTACATCACAAATACTGCAGAATATTGAGGGAGGAAATAAACTAATCGAAAGTTCCACTTAGGACTACCCAGTCTCTAATGATTAGTTGTGCCTCTTTCTAACACAGCCCCAATTTCACCACAGGCGGAAAATTCGAAAAGGGAAAACTTAATTTGTGTATAGTACAGATGCAGCTCATAATTGTTCTGACTGAACAATGTATTGTTAGCTTAATATGTTGGCATGGCACTATGAGGAGTAAGTTCACTTTGTTCTCATACTGAAGTAAATCACCTTCTTAATACAGGGCCAACATTAAACTTTGCCAGGTTGGTGAGGAAGGTGGGGCACCTATGCTTAGTGCAGACAACTCTGAACTCACAACTTGCTCATCTCTGTAAAATGAAACGCTGAGGAGGATAGGAGCCCAAAGGCAAAATGGGAACAAATTTCAAAACCTGTTTTTCTTTAATGCAGTTTTCATTGAAAACCTATTTTTGTCTTGTCACTCAGGAGCCATTCTTCAAAATGATTCCAACTGGTGGATTTTTCAGAGCCAACTATTAATTATGAGCAGCAAAACAGAAAATTCCGGAAATAAGAGGGTCAAGCAGAATCTCTGGAGACAGAAACAGACTTAATGGGCTGACTTTTATGTTGGGGCCCAGGGTAGAAGAGTGATGGGATAGCCCCATTAACAGTAGTCAGGCTGCCAATTGGTTTGAGGTGAGACCTTAG